AAAATATATATTATGTGTGCTTTTAGGCTATTATTTAATTATTTTATTCACATCTTTATGATATTTCGTAGATATGTGTATACCCTTGTGCAAAAAATGTATTTAAATATATTCGAACATTTATAATTATTTATATTTTAGTTTATATATAATTTTGCTTATAAAAATAAGTAATACACAACAAACATGATGTATACATAATTTGTTAATCCCTATATAACCCAATACTACAAAGATATATTTATCTTTTTAGTTATTTTATAGAATGCATTTTAATGTGATATGTGAATAAATATTTCATTCTTTTATGTGATTTATATTTTAGTATGATTCTGTTAAAAATATTGAAGGAATTTATATTTTATCCTAAAAATATATATACCATAAGGTAAGTTCTTTTTTCTATACATATTAATATAATATACAAGAGTGTTTTTGTCAGTATTAATACTTTGCATGTTATTAAATAAAACACCAATTCAAAAAAAGAATTATGATTTAAAATTTGAACTATATATTGTTCCATGTTTGTGTGTGATGTCATGGAGTTATATTAATGTACACGTAAGTGCTTTTTTTATAGCCTATGATTATATTATAAGCATAAGTTAATATTACTAATATGTTTAAGTTTTATTGTTGTCTATACATTTAAGACATTAAATAAATTAATATTTCCCAACACCCTTATAATATATATTAATGCACAATACTTGTTCTTAATATAAAATATTGAAAAATTTTATCCACTAAAAATTCACTCAATTAAATATATATTTTTATTTTTTATGCAATTTATTCACAATTAAATACAATGTACAAAGACAGTGTTATAAAGAGTCACCATCTAATATTATGTGCTTATTATATAAATTAAGAAAAATTACATGCTACTATGTATGATGCTCTCTGAAAATATTTTTGAACAATTAGATTTTGTAAGTACTGAAAATTCATCATTATGTATATAATATAACACATATTAGTTCATTATTTATTGTGTACACTGTTATTAAAATTTAATGAAAATTAATAGTAAGTAATATATATTCAATCCATTTAAAATATAAATATATACTGCAGATATACTATTATCATTCATTCAAAATTGAGTTACGCTTTTAATAAACCTAGCATAAGGCAATATATGTTTCGTCATAAATAAATCAAATAATTGCAATACAGCATTAAATGGAATTATTATTGAAACTGAAACTTAACTTGAATTTACGAATAACAGTTATATGTATGATACTCATTAAAACAGAGAAAAAAATGCATATGATTGTTTATATAGTCATAAAAAATCAAGGAAAAAATATTCCTACACTAATTTTAGAAATATGCAGAATCAAATCTCGAATATTTTAAGAATAATTGAACAAAGGTATAGAAATAAAATTAAGTACATAATTAATAAAATAAATAATGATGATACAATAAAATCATTTAATATATTTCAGAGTTAATATATAACTATATTATTACTTATATTATTACATATATTATTAAAAAAAATTCTTGAGATTTATATATCTAAATAATGTAATTAACAATATTATTAGTGATATATTTTCAATTATTATTTACATGAAATATTTCATATATATTAAAGGATTATATATAAAATAAATGATATTTAATACTTCTACGATTATATTTTTCAATAAATGTATACACTTTAAATGAACTTTATAAATTAGCATAATACGAAAAATTCTTGAATTTTTATGAACTAGAAAATAAACTTAAATAAATATTATGTGCAACAAATATTGTTGTAATATAGAGTTTATATATATTATATATACATGTTTTACTAATAAATAGTAAAAAAATTTTAGACTAATATATAATTTATACACAAAATTACAAATAATATAATACAAATATTATAAGTATAATCATAATAAATTTTCATTAATATATAAAAACAATGAACATAAATAATTTATATTAATTTCTGTAGTTAAAAAAAGATATATTCATATATTTTTTCAGTATGTAATATACATGTACTTATATAAAATAAAAATTGTTTGTTCTGTGTTCTTAGAGTAATTATTTCTTCAGTTTCATATACATATTAATTTAAAACTCATACATATTATTTATAAAATAAGAGTTATTATTGAATTACAAATTAATTATTTTAATTTATCTTTTTATTTATGATCCTTCTACAAATATGAATTTTTATATACTTCTTAATTCCTACATATTTTTATAGTGCCTTATATGTTGCTTATATAATTATATTTGAAAATGTTAACTGCTTATTCCTTGCTTAAATTACCTATATATGCATATATTAAATATCTTTGGGGAATATAAAATGAATCCTATATTTTTTATATAAAATATAGAGTTCTATATATTTTATAATTTTATACAATGTATTATCTTATTATTATAATATAAAGTAAGTATTCATTCGCACATGTCTTATGTGCTAGTATATATGACATAAAAAATATAATATTTTTCATCTCAAAAATCCTTAATATAAGGATATATATAAATTAGAACTTCTTTAAAAAAAAAAATCTGTTAACATTTAATTTTCGTTCATAATAATTATGAATATTCTAATTTAATAAATCACAAAAAAAGGAATACAAATTTGTAAAAAGAAAGATAAATAAAATAAATCAAAAATATTTTATCAAATAAAAGAAATTCTTTAATTATAATATATGTAAAAAATAATATATAATATATATAATTATATATTAATATCTTATATGTCACAAAAAATAAAACGCATACATACCGTTAGTGCATTATATATGAATTTCATATAAATTTAAAATATTTATACTTATATATATGATTAACATTAGTATTTAAGAACTAAAGTTTCATTTTAATTTTTTTCATGCTATATAATATGTTTTTATAACAATTTAGTTGAACTATATTTAATTATTAGTTATATATATAATTTCCATATTGTTTGAGATATTATCTAATATTCTATATAATTTTTTTATATGTATATTTCAATTATTATTATAGAAATATGATATTCATTCAAATAATAATATATAATAGCAAAAAAAAGAGAAATACGTCTTCTGTATTTTTTGTTGTACATTTATATTCATAGTGAATTAGACTTTAAAAACTGGATATCGTTTTATTTGAATACTAATAAACTGAGTACAAAAAAATAATGTTACATTATACTCTGCTATATAATGATAATTAATTCTCTTTCATAAAAATTTAGCTCATCTATCAAAGTAAATATATGTTACCGTAATTTTTATATATTTTAAATATAATATTTTCTTCTTATTATATTATAAACCATAAAATTAATTAGAATTATATAATATTTGATATCCATTGTTTCTAAAATGACAACACGGTTTTTCAGATAATTCCAGTATATTCCTCTCTTTATCAATATTATTACATTTTTTTCTTTTCTTCATAACTGTACATCGAAAACGTGAATTATATGGCGTGAACTAATAATTAAAAAAATTAATATATAAATTGTTTAATTGTTTTCTAAAATTTTTTTCCATTTTAAATTACTTAAATATATGCATTTCTTCTATAAGCATACATATATATCATAATTATTAACCTTATACAATATAAAGATAAAAAAAAATATTGCTAAAGTTGCAAAAATTGGAATTAATGTAAGTGTTGTTACATTATAACTTTGAAAAGAAGGTAATGTTTGGGGAATTTCAGGATTACATATATTGCTCATCATTTGTTTATCATATTGTTCTTTTATATTTAATAATTCATCACAAAAATATGTTTTATTATTGTATTTACAAGTTTGCACATAGTTTCCATATATGTTCGCACATTCCTGTAAGTATTCACATTTTTTATCATCTATTTCTTTCTCAAGTTTAGTGTACATGTCATCCAGATCCTTGAACTTTGACATTACATCATCTGTAATAGTCGTGTAAATATTTTCTGAGCATATGTATCTATGCGATGAATCAATAGAATTCATCAATTCTTTATAAAGACTTTTAACTTCATCACTCAAATGTTTCTTGCTATTATAATAATATAGCCAATAATACAAATATATGCAACTCGATTTGGAATCGGTAATCATGTGCCTGTGTTGGCTTTCTATAATTTGCGTATAATCTTCCACTTTTTCGCATATTTTCTCAACTTCGGGAAGAAAATTTTGAAATTTGCCTTCTCCAAATGATTTACAATTACCAGTAATGCTCTGATAACTACTAGGTTTTATATTTTCCATAATAGACCACAAATTAGGAAAATCCTTAGCTAATTTATACTAGGAATAAATAAAAAATTATGTTGTAATAAAAATTACAAACTACTAAAATTCTTTTCATTAATTTTATATAAAAATATTAAAAAAAAATGTTATAATGTAGTAATTTATATTATAATATTTATGATATACAATATCTTTATCCATTTCACATATGTTTATATTTCTTTAAAGAATGAGTCGATAGAACAATGAAATGTTCGGGAATATATATAATGTTTTTAAAAACTAAAATAAATATTCTAAAGTAAAAGAATTTTCTCATCTTATTTAATTATAAAATTGATGTAAAAATTGAACGAACATCTTGATTATTAAATTTTACTCAAAAGAAAATAAATAGAAAACTTTGTAACATATATACTATAGTTTTAGTTATTTTAAGGAAAATACATAAATTTTATGCGCTAGAATCCGAACAAATTAAAAAAAAATAGGTTCAATGTAATATGTATCCAAAATATTAAAATTATATAATTTTACTAATTCAATAAGAGCAAGAAAAAAATATAATATTTATTTAATGTTATGATCATAACTATATATAAAATAATTTTTATTGTTTCTAAAATTTTTGTTTTTATAGAGATATGTATGATTTAATTAAAGCTATATAATATATTAAAATATATAATAATTAAGAAAAAATTTGAAGTTAATACATTTCTCTTATATAACAAATGATATAAGCTCAATAAAGTGCGTTATATTCATTTGTGAAATATGGATATCAATACTATTTATTAAATACAATAATGGATATGATTATATATAAGACTTATTATACATTTAAATTACAACAAAACATAACACTGAAAATATTATTATTATATTTTTTTATTTAACTCATATAAGTGAAGCTTATACCTCATCTGCGGAAACTAATTTATTAAAAATTTAGACATTATCAACAGAACACATATATTAAGGTGGTATTTAAAAAAGAATAATATATTATTTCAGCAATTCGTGTTCATACACTATATTTTAAATTTTTATTTATTTTGATCTGTCAAATATTTTCAGTTTTTATAAATATAATATATACATTAAAACTTTGATTTTTTAATATAATGAATATATTAAATATTTTATTTCAGGATTTTTCTAGAATTAACCACTTCTTATAACATATGAATAATGTTGTATTTATGAGCATTATAAATATCAAAATTATTCATCTTAATTATGTCATATGAAGCATATTAAGTGCTTATTATAATAACACTCGGTGTGTAATTTTCATTATGTGAATAAAAATCGACATGAACACAAAAATTTTTTCTTATATGTGATTCTGTAATGTAAAAAATAATGTTTTTTTAAAAATTTTTTTTTTTTTGTCCTCATTTTATCACAAAGAACTTAAATATATAAAAAATAATTTTATATAATAAGTATATAGCATGTTTTCTCATATTAACTTTGTGTATCAGTTAATTAACATATATGAAAATTTTATTTTTTGATAGAAAAATATGTTCACTATTAAGAAATAAAAATATTAGTACTGATTTCTATCGTAATAAAATTTCTTTGCAAATTTGTTTATTTTATATTATTCAAAAATTGTTACTATCAATAAAATAACGAATTTAGCCATATAAATTATATATGATTTTTATTAGGAATTCTACACATATATTAAAAAATTCAATTGCTATAAGTTAAAGTTTTCCTTAGATGTATGTATATAACACACCCAACGAAAGTTATACATTAAAATAAATATTATTGCGATTATGAGTCTATAAAAATAGTCTGTAGATTATGTTTTAAATTATTTTATTAAAATATAACTAAATGTTGTATAACAGGAAATATATTTATAAATTAGAATTTCCTTCATCATAAATAACTTATTCAAAAATATAATTAATAACATGATTACTGTTTATCATTTTAATTTATTTCTAAAATTATTGCTGAAAACATTTCATTAAAAATTATATTATATATGTACTCTATACACAATGAGAATCATGTACATAAATATGACACCGTAAGAGAAAAACATATGCTTTTTAAAAAAATATGGATATGTGTATAAAGCTTTCCATGTGTAACATAAAAATGAGTTCATTAAACTGTGCCAATGAGACAAGCTTCTTAAATAGGGATTATATGAGATATACATAAAAATATAAAAAGAAGGAACATATTGTCTAAATACATATAACTAAATGAAAAAAATCATCATTTAATTTAATAAAAAATTAGATAAAATACTAAAATAATATAAAATGATGAATAGAAAGAAGTATGATATAGTTATTGAACATTTATGTTAGATTCTACAGATTTTATGAAGAATCTGTACAGGGAAAATGTATTTAATATATAAATGCGTACTAAATTTATTTGAAACATTCGTAGATGAAACGTATGTAGCATAATATGACCATATTTTTATGATTTTTTAAATAGAAATTGTGCAATCCATAAAAATTATATATCATCAATGTATTATCCTCTAAAATTATATGAATAATCAACATTATATAATAGTATAATATCTATATAACAACCTAATTCGTATAAGTATAAATGTAATTATTTTTCTGATCATTATTGCAAATACTAGATGCCCAAATTTTCTAAATATACACTCTTCTGTAAAACATTATTTTGATAGTTATTAAGTTATGTCTATATGTTAAAGTAAAAAATATAACAAAAAAATAAATTAAAAAAAACGTGAAAATACAAAAAATGTGATACGCAGGAAGTTAAATAACAAAATGATTTCTTAAAATATATATGGTGATAACAGTTACTTTTTCTTAAATTAATATTAATAATTGGAAAATATAAGAATAATATCCCTCAATATTAAATAACATTTTCTAATATTTTCCTATATAATATTCTTATCACTCCATATTTAAATGGAATATATTATCTTTTACAATATTCATTTATATTCCATATACTTTTTTTTTATTTATATGTGATATGCGATAATTATAAAGCACATAATTATGAAATGTCTTACGTTTCTAATAAAGCATTCTAATTAAAATATTTTTATAATATAATACAAACATTAATACTAATAGATATCTGTATTGGTACATGTTGTATTTCACATAAATGTTTTAATAAGTAGTTTTATATATATTTTTAATTCTTATTTCTTACATTACCATTTTTATATATATAACAGTTTTTTCATGCTTTATTATGATCATATATATGTATTATATAACATAATTCTTTTTTAATATAGAATTAAATTATTAATATATTTTTGTTGCATTACAATTAGCTTATTCTTTATGCGTTGCATGAATAATTCTGTAATAAATTGTTTCTTAAACTGTTATATTAATACTTCTATTATTTTTCATCTCTATGACGTAATATTAAAAAATAATAAATCTTTTTATTTACATATATAATTACTGATATAATGGAATATGCATATATATTCTTCCTATTTTATTTTTCTACATTTACTTGTGTGACCAAATTTAAAGTTATCGCTTATTTATATAATGCATCTAACATGGTGAACGAATGAATTTAATATAATTGCTTATATATTTATCATTCTTTTTAGAAAATTATTAATATCATTTAATTATGAATAAATATAAAATGGACAAAAATTTACATAATAAGCATATAATTTCATTGTGAATTATATAGTATATATTAAGAAGAATAAACTATATATTACATTTAATAAGAACAAACATTAATATGTTAATAAATATATATATATTCCATTAATACCTTGTGTATAAGCCCTATGGATCATATATATGATTAATATGTAGAAAAAATCTTAATAGTTATATATATTTTATTCTATTTGTCAATATCATTTTGCTTTTTTTTTCATATTATTTGTATATATTTAAAATTAAATTATAGAATAGCATAAAAATTGACTAAAATACATTTTAGCCTATATTTAATAAAGTTCATAGCTTCAAAGTACGTACGAACCTTATAATATATAAATTTCTGAAAATAAAACAATTAATGTTTTATATTAGTTATTTACATAGATTTATATTTATAGGGATGTTAAAATTTAGAAAAATGAAACATATACATAATTGTATAAAAAAAATAAATGAAAGGGGCGTGAAGAAATTTCATATGAATTATGATTAATTCATAAATTATAGAAAATAATTGATTTCTATTTTTGTGGTTCTCAAGAAATACAATTTAAGAAAATACAAGTAGAAGGAATACTAATTATGATAGTATGTAGACATACAAACATTGGACACTTTCCATTAATAATGTTTTGTTATATATTTTATAATATAACAACACTTAATAAATATATGTATAAAACATGATTACATAATTCATACTAATAAAACACGTTAACGAAACATAAAACGTACAAAAATACATTTCTATACACAATATACAATATATATTTTACATAATTATTCGTATAAAAAAGAATATAATCGATATATTTTCCCTGATAGGATGGTAGAAAACGACATACTAACTTATAACTTATAGTTCTTATAAATATATTTTCAAAATAATGTAAACAACTTAAAATAGAATTCATTATAAATATACAGAAGCAATTATAAATATAGATTGTAGTATAATTAACATAACACCAGTTTATAAATAATAAATAAATATGCATTTATGTAAAAATATATCATATATATCTCTTATCAAAAAGTGCAAAAATAACAATATATTAGAATTTTATATGTATAAGAAAAATTTGTCATAATATATTTACTAATAAATTAGCTTTGTAACATGACAAAAAAGAATATAATTATGATTTTTTTCAAAAATATCACAAGCGTTATCGTGACACGAATTAAAACAATATATATAATGATGTAGTCAAAAAGTTCTGAATATATCCATTTTTGCAAATTTAGATTTTTCATTTATTTGTACTCTTGAAATGTCTTTTATAAACTATCGAACACATTTATGAAATATATATATTAGAAAATAAATTATATATTTTTCATTTCCATCTTTCTTAATTATACATGAAGCATATAAACTACAATTCAGTATAATAAAATATGAATATATTTTTTATTTTTTTGTGTTTTCTATTATATCTTGAGCAGAAAAAAAAAACAGAAAAAAATAATTAATTCCTTAGGTATTTTTTAAAATATCAGCTGTACTTCCACATTATATGACTCACACGCAGTGGAATAATAAGAATGTATTGTTAAGATACTTATAATATGCTCAATAAGGAAACATATAATTTTATGTTAAGTGTAAAGACATTTAAATATACCCAGAAATGGGATCGCATAAATGATATTATTAAAATTAATAAATTAGGAGGAAAATTATTTATCATATTTTATATATAAAAGCTGACTGTTCATATGCATATACTCACATTTTTTGTTGTCTCCTTAATATTATTATATGAACATATATATGTTACCATATTTTTTTAGTACATATTTTTGAATATTAGTCTTAGGTAAAAAAATAATATTTTTCATTTATTCATTAAGGGAACAGTATTACGATCTTATAATATTTATAGTAAAAGAAAACATATATCCTTTATACATGAATTATATTTTAATACAATATTATATATATGTTATAATAAATTTATCCATAGATTTAAAAAACATATACAGTGTATCAATACATAATAGAATATGTTATAAATATATATTATATCATAATGTATTATAATTCTGATAAACGAAATATATAACAAATAATGAGTTATATCTAAACACAATGTAAAAGTTTTCAGTAATATGTGTATAATTCTTATGTCGAAGCGTATATTATTTTTTTAAAATATATAATTATTATATTTTCTGCATAAGTTATAATAATGATTTAATATTTTATTTATTTTATATTTATGTTATATAAGGAAGTATAAATATATTTTTCAAATATATTATCTGCATAATATTGAGAATATTTTTTTTTACTTATTACTATTAATTGTGTACAGTTTTTTTTTTTTTTTTTTATTTTATAATGAGAAATTTAGTATATTTAATATTAAACTATAATTATTTGATATCTTATAAGTTAAATTTATATTATAATAAAATGAAAATTAACAATTATCTTAAAATTATTAAATTATATATATGCAAATCGATTAATGTAAGGATGAATTTTTTTATTAATAATATCATATAGAGAATTTAAATTTAATGAAATATATAACATAATTGAAATTATAATAAAAATTTTAAAATCAAATTGTGTATGAAAATCTATGTAACTATGTTTATACTTAAATATACATAAATTATTAGAACCTGTATAATTTTAAAAAATAACTAATTACCCCGTATAGTATATATAATTATTGTAAATTACAATCATTCTTTTTAATAAACTTCTTACATTTTAATATACATTTATAACAGATCCACTATATTTTCACCCACGTGACATTTATATTTTTATAACATCAGTATATATTTTTAACAAAATATATATCACAACATAAAAAAAATAAGTTTTTGTTTATACTCTTTAATAAAATTAACATGATAGGATTATATTTTCTTTTTATTTAAAGGTATTTATCATAATTATTTATAAGGAAAAGGATATATTTGTGTTTTATGCAACTAATTTATTTTTTTTTTGTGAGGAAATATATCAAAAAATATGTTATATCACAAATTACTAGATCACCATATTTGAATGTACAAAGTATAGATAAATAGATTTGTAATTTTACTTTTTTCACTTTAATAATATTAAAACTAGTTGTGATACGTATTCATATCATATGAATTTATTTTTTGAAAATACATATTTCATTTGCTTAAGCTAAATTATTTTATTTACTTTTGTATTTCATAACTATTATCTTATTTCAAGTTATGATAATGGAGGTTAGCTTTAATTATTGTAAAATAATTAAACTCATTATTATATATGTATATAATTTTCTATGAATAAAAAAATTTGTATAATATAATATAATTTTTTTTGTGATATTATATTCTTTTCATTTTAGAGATATACACTGGGCTTATTTCCCATATGTAAAGAAATTATGGATAAGAATAAAGGCAATGAAACTGATATAGTGAAATCATGGTGTCAAAAAATTAAATCTTCTTCACATGGTGTTCCTAGGATTAATGAAAACATCTGCCTCCGAGCTATGTATTATTTAGATGATATTTCATATATAATTGATGAATCATTATTAGAATCCTCCTGTAAATATTTATATTATTGGATATTTCATACCTACACTGATATAAATAATGTTGAGGATTACAAGAAAATTTATGATGATCTTCTTACCTCATATGTGCGTAATGCTGGAGCGCATAAATGCAATATTTACAGTGAATCGTTTAATGGCGATTTTATGTCAATATTCAGAAATATGCATAGCATACGTAAATATTTTAATGAAAACAAAACTATGTATTTAGGAAATTTATTAAAAGATCAAATATTTATTGATACTATAAGCATTATTAAAAAGAATTATAATGATGTAATCGAAAAACCAATATGTGAAGAATGCACATTGTTAACCCGCAATGATACTAGCATTACAACTCCAATTGCAATAACATTTGTTGCAACTCTATTAATATTAGTCTTTTCATTCATTTTGTATAAGGTAATCACTATATCATTTATATTCATCTACAAGTTAACATATTGTAATTATTCTAAATTAATAAAAAAAAGGAAATATTATTAGAAAAAAATTATTTTTAATGAATAAATATATATTCATTTTATATATATATATATATATAATAGTATACAGCATTCGGTTCATGCTTACTTCACAATAAAAAGGGATTAAAGTTGGATAGGAATAATATCGATGATGAATGGAATGAAATACAACCACTAGGAATATCATCAAATATTTCAAATGATAATAAATATATGTTACTATATAAATGAGGCTATTATTAGTATATAATCCAAATAAAATATACTTTATATATATAGATCTAGCAATATTACTTTGACCATCTTCCCCTTAATATATTTAAATAAACATGATACAGATATATTATTTTTGTTACACATAAATATGTATTAATATGGTACATGTGTTCAGGGATTAAATTTTACGTTTTGAAATAAGTGTTTTTTGTTATTGTCCCTATTTTATAGTCCCAACTTTCACATTAATGCTTCGAACGTTTTTAATGATCATAATTTATAATTATATTATAATGAATGATTGAATTGTATTAATATTGTATTTTTCATTTATGTGCATTAAATAAAATATGTTCATGGTGTATAAATGATATTATATATTATATTATTTTTATTATCCGTATATTCCTTAATATCATATAAAAATATATCCTTTTGTATATATTCATCTTAATTTATTATATGAATATAAATTATTATTATATATATTGGTTAATGAATCTCTTTTTATCATAATTCTGGGTATAGAATTGTTTGTATATATATGTATAATTTATCCCTTATTATATATTTTATATACACTATTCTTATAGTATTTTATTTTTTATTAATCATTCTTTTTAT